CAAGTTGTCAACCACTTATTTAGATGATTAGTTCTCTCTGATCATTTCAATATGTGAAGACATAGATAAAGGGAAAGAAAATGATTTAGAGTGTTTTGTTTCTCTAGTACATGAGCACAGGTGAAAGTTGAAAGTCTGGTGTTCCAAAGGGAAATCAAGTTTAGCAAATGCACAACCTCACATTTTAAAGGAATGAGTTAGAGACCAATTTATGAAGCTATCTCTCAACCCTGTTTCTCTGAAGGCCATGCTGAAATGATAACTCTTTTACAAAGATTTCTTAAAAAAACTCCAAAGTTAGCCTTTCTAAATTGGTGTTTCTAAAGCACTAAACATTTGCATGGTATTTATTGTTTTTCCCTGCTGTGTCTCAAGAACATCTCAGATTCCTGTACATTTTATCACCCCCACTTGACTTTAAGCTCCTGAAATTAGGGAGCAGGTGTTTTTCAGACTTACATTTCTTATAGTGCCTAATGATATATCCTGGCACACCAAAGGCATCAATAAATCTGAGATAAATGAGTAAATAGTAACTGTAGATAAATATTGCTGAATCCTAGCTAGAATGTAGAAGTTTTTCTTTAAATTTACTTTATCCAAACCATAAGCTATCTTTCACTTCCAGAGGAATCATGTTATAGACAAGGGGAAGAATGACACTGTGGTCATGGATAGGAGTAGGAGATAATTTCCTCCTCTTTACCCAGGTAGACAGAATATGGAGGCTGTTGAGAGAAGATTTCGTGTACAAAATACTTAACTGCTCTATAGAGTATAATTTCCTCCTCTATAAATTGTAGAAAAGTTTATACCTATTGTATAGGGTTACTGTTAAGAGTAACTTGCTTAGTAACTGCATGTGAAAGTATCTAGTTCATGACACATGGTAAATAATAAATGGTATTTAATTGTTTCAATCCTTTCTGTCTGGCTTACAGAAATGAAAAGGGCATGATAAATTTGTTTATTCAGAAGATTTGGTTCTGAAAAATGAAACCAGGGCATGAAGTATATCAGTAATAGTAAGGTATACTGTTGGACACCAGTTAAAAGTATATGCTATGTATCAATGTGAGATAAGTTGAGTTACAAAGGTAGATAAGTAAAATAATTGATAGAAGACATGGCATTCTAAGCGTCTATTAAGGTTCTGTGACTTATCAGTTATTTGAACTTGAACTTGGATAGCTATTCTAAACAGAACCCTCTGGGTAGAATAACACAAATGATTTTTTATCCAGATACATAGACACACAGGGAAGAGTCCTCTTGAGTCACCATCTGGGCTAAATAACTTGCACTTAATAGATGGCACATAAGGATTATGGCACCTGGGCACTTACATGCTGAATGTCCATTGAGCAGAGTGTACAATTCTAATTACACATGACAGTCAAAAACTGTCTGAATTGTATATTGCTTCTATTTCTATCCAGTCAGAACTTACTCTTAACAGTTCAAAGTGTGATTGATGAATGACAAGAAAATAAGTTAAGTTGACTTTAAAACTTTCAGGTAGCCATGTGACAACGAACCTAAAATTTGGAGGAAGCAACCCAATAGCAACAAAATATAAATGCTTTGAAAATTGAAAATTACATTGGGAAGATGGAATAAAGCTATCAAACTATCCATGGTGATAAAAACTATTGCTTCTGAATGTGTTGGTTTCAACAACACATCATCTCTACTCGCCTTTTTTGACTTATAGAAATGATAGTTTATATGTTTTTCAAGATAACAATTAGGCTTTGTTAAGATAGTATCACTGTTTTGAAGAAAAATTAGTTTAGTTGATTTTTTATAGAGTTTATTTATCATGATGAAATATCGTTCTGTTAGGTTTATACTGGAGAAATCTAGATATATGAAATAAAAGGAAAACAAGAAGCACACGTGGTGGGAAAAGATTACCATTAAGCTTCTTTTGATTGGAGCAAAAAGTAGAAAGACACATGCTTATCAGAGAGATATTGTGTTGGAAGTATTGATCAAAATGTAGAGCTATGATTTAGAAGAAGGGGGAAGCCATCAAAATTGTGATGCCCATGAAAATAGAAATCTTAAAAAAGAGATTTGGAAAAAGCAGTGCATAGTAACCAGACCTGGAAGAGAGTGAGCAAAGTGAGAAGATAAAACTAGCAGAACTATGAAATAGCTTTTATTATTCATTCTGAGATTTAGGGAATCCAAGAAGGTAGTGGGAATCTGACCAGGTGAGTTAAAAATCTGGTTCAAAATTTTATAAGTACATCACTCTCATTTTCTGTGGCAATTAATTCTTTATATTTTGAGAATTATAATAAAAATATGTAAATGAAGTCAACAGAAACTTAAGGTAAAACAGTACATCCTAGGGTTAGCCTTATCTTGGGAGATAGTTCTTGACCATGTTGGGGAAGAAATTGGGCTGTCAATAAGGAACAGTTTTTTATAAAAGACTAGTTTGAGTTTGGACACTGAAAAGGGGCTCCTGGGTGGCAGTGCTTCATAAATTCTCCTACTGACTTTGGTCAGTAGCTGTGTTAGGTAACAAATCACACTGTTGCATGTCCCCATGTTCTCTCTGGTTTATTCCATCACTGGAAATTGGAAATAAATGCTAGAAGTCACTCTGGACTTGTTGAAGGCAGAAGCTTTGCCTCCTAGCATTCTGCAGAGGGGAAGTAAGTCGGGAGAACTTTATAAAATCAGTATCTTTTTAACTTTATAAAGTAGATGTATCATAAGGGCTTATGGTTTCACACTCTTAGCTGAATTTGTCTCTACTATAGGCAGAGACCCTTATAATCCAAATAAAGTAGGACTATGAAAGAGGTAGTGTAAATCAAGAACCCTTAAGGCACATTAAAGTGAGTAAAAAGACTTAGTAACAGAATAGACTTGGAGTATATAATTTAGAAGAAACATAAAATAATAAAACCAAGGATTTGGGCCTGGAAACTGAGAGGAAAAAATGTGTTAATTTAGACACAAGTAGGATATTTGTAAAGGGAAACATATTTAATAAGGAAAATAATTGTTTAAATATTTTCATTTTAAATTTGAAAAGGCACAGTTACATTCAAGGAGAGAAGAGTTGTGAATAGGTGACTGGAGATAATTTGAGAATTTTCTGTGCAAAAACAATCTGGGATAGGAACACAGTTTGTTCTTTCTCAACCCCAGTTAACTAGTTGTGTCTACCTTGAGCCTCAAATTGAAAAAGAGTTTTGGTCCACAGCTAAGCTCAGCAGGAAAGCCCCGTGATCAATTTCCAATATCAATCATGCAATCTAGTGGCAAGACTGACAATGATCACTTACCTGCCTTCACAAGAGAGACGTGGGTGGTGCTGAGCTAACTGGGCAAGAAAGTAGAGTGAGAGATCCATCCACATCATGAGTGTAGAGCCTCAGTATTTTCCAGACTTGGGTGTGAGAAGGTATTATAGGGTTAGAACACATAAAGAGATTTGGAAGGAAACCCAAGAAAGTGTAGTATCGTAGAAACCAGGAGAGGAGAGGAGGACATAACAAAGGCTGTGGTCAACATGGACACATTCTTCCACCAAAGCTGTACGAAGAATGAGAGTGGAGTAATACCTGGACTGGGCAGTGACATGATTTGGCACCAGGTCTTACATCTTGGGAAGGATTACATTGCTTCAGGGAATGACGAAGTGAATCACAATGAGGAAGCATAGTCCAATTTATGTATTACACAATTAAAGAATTATTAAGTCACGTCTCTGCTTCCATTTGCTTGGATATTATCATTGCATTGTCATTAAAATCAGATCATTAGTTTGGATAATACAGACCTCAGGGGGGGGAAATTACTCAGTTTAACTGTTAAAAATTGAATAAATGTGTTTTCTAAACTTGTTTTAAAACTATTGTTTAGAACTCATGTGAAGGCAACTTTAAGAGATGCATCTCTTAAGACACAATTTTAAATGGTGCATCTCTGAAATTCACAGTAAGCCAAATCTTACTATAGAACTTTCTTACCATATATTCACCATTACATAGATTCAGATATGTGTTCTTATACTCTTCAGTTAGTGTCTAAGTAGAACAGAGGCGTTCTACAACCATACTTTTTATTTATCAAAAAGAAAAAGATGTCCAGATTCTCACCATCTGTCTGACTTACAAATGCACCTGACTAAAAATAAACCATTCAGGAATAAGCCATTCACACTTCCTCTGCAGTGACTGAAGTGTTTGTTGAGATATCCGTATTAAATTAAGAAACTTGGCGCTCTGGTCCTTTAATGGTGCTGACATTCTGACTCACAGATGCCTGAGGGAAGTCAGAACACTGGACACCAGCAGACCGGCAGTTGGGAGCCTGATGGAGGACAAGTGGGGCCTCAAGGACAGGTACATGACAGAAGCACAGGGGGAAAAAAAAAAGAAAAGAAAAATGGCAAGTTGACCTGGAAAAAAAATGGGGAGATTTGTAAGAAGAGTAAGTTAAAGTAGCAGAATACTTTTATGTAGCCCTTACAACAACAACAAGAAAAAAAAAATAAAAGGGAAATAAAGAATGATTTCTGAGATTTGTTGATAGGAGAAAAACCAAAGAATCCAGACTTTTCATGAAATGTTTACTGTTATTATCCAAGCAACATTATTAACTAGTTGTGTCCTGACTAAAGATTATATAAGCTAATTGGTACTTAGAAAGCCTTGGATTTTTTTTAAAAAAGTTATAGAACAGTTAAATTTATAAAACATATTGGTAGAATTACCATAAAAATACCATATTTTAAAATTTGGCTTATAAAGAACAATGTATAATCATCATTACATGACATTTACAAAGTGTTTCCTAGGATATGATTAAGCTCTTTCACTGTAAACTTTAAAAAAAATCTGTAGCTTGAGTTTTGCTTTAACATTATCATTCATTTCAAAGACTTTGTTTCCTGATAAAACTGGCAAAAGGTTAAGATTTTGCTATTCAGTAATATTTGACAAAATGTGATTTATTGTTTTTTTTTTTTGTCAGAAGAAATAAAAACAAGAGTTCATCACTAAAGAGGTATGCCGACAGCATAAATCTCATGATTAGCTAAAAACTGGAATCATCTGGAAAAATAAACAAGACTCATCATGTCCTTTTCTGTCCATAACCAGAAGGGCAGCAAAAGGCCTTTGCCACTGGAGCCTCTTCTTTTGCCCCAAGTTCCACGTAGCAATTACCTGCACTTTCAAGAGGAGAAACAACGACTACACCTCAAGAAATTCCTTATTCATAGGATGTTTCTAGTGGCCAAGATACAAGCAAATGTAGACAAAAAAGATATTGCTGACTACTATGAGCAAGTGTTTCAGTCAGTTTTGAAATATCACCTAGGAGAAGCAGTGACAGGATTACTGCTCATATATCCTACCTCCATTCTGCATATCCTCGAGTCCTCCAGTGGCACACTCTACCAAATTCTTTTAGATTATATTGGCCATGAAAAAGATGAAACAAAATTTTTTATTCAAAAAATGAAAATTATAGTCATTTCTCATAACATCCCAACGAGGCTTTTTATGCAATGGCATGTTTCAGTGATAAAAGTGCCAGTTATGTATCTCGATGATGTGACACAGTCACAAACCTTAAAAGAGGTCATCACAGATTTTCTCATACAAACTCATAAACTGTCAATTCACCTTTGTAAGACTGTTAAAGTGGGCACTAAAGGACCAGGTGATAACTTACACCAAACTGCAGCTGACCTACTTCTCCCAGAACAAATCATAAAGTACCTATGCAAATCCGAAGAATTCATGGACCCAGCAACATTTATAAACATGTATAACAGACCCATACACATCACTCTGGATTCTGAGGTGGTGTGGCCTGCTCCTTCACGTTTCTAGGATTAAGAGCAATAATGTGCTTATGTCTCTTAAGGAATTTGTGCTACTTAAATAGAAAGAAAATATTTTTAAAGTTACTTGCCTCTTTTAAAAGAAAAGAAACAGAACATTGCAATATACACAGAGATAATATAATAATCTTTACAGAGTATGTTCAGCTAAACTTTTAAAATGTATCTATTCATTGCAATATTAAGTTCAATACATTATTTTAATAGGTAGATGGGTTTAATAAGTTTGTTATAACTTCTCAAATGTTAACATCATTTTCATGAAATGACACTTTTTAAAAGAAAAGTATGCATGAGTATGCATGAAAAAAGACAAACGGAATTCAGATTATCATTCAATCGCTCAACAGTTAATGAATAGTCACCATGTAGTATGACTGTACGTAGCAGAAGTACAGTATTCTGAGGGTACGAAATTGAGAAGAAAAGTCCCACTCTTGAGTTCCTTGCAATCTAAGGTTAGAGGCAAGTACATGTAAGTAGTTATGGTAGGATATATACTATAATATATATTATAGTATAATATAATATATTATTATAGTGGCAGTATATAGGAAGGGCTTTGACAGCACAAGTGAAGGGATAATCATTGTATAATTCCTGCATTCAGAAAACAAAATCTAATTATTGAAAATATTTCTAAAGCTCACATATTCTGGACTATATAATCAAGAATACTGAGACCATTATAAAGCTACAGAAAACAATAGCTATTTGGAATGACAAAAAAAAATACATTATCAGATGGCGTTGTGCTACTCCATGCAACATCGTTTATTGAACATCCCTTCATGTTACAGACATTTGCCAGGTGCTAAGGGACACAGCAGGGTACACAGAACACATTATCTGCCCACTATTAAAATTTACTTCTGAATAATTTTATGTAAAATAAGCAATCTGGTTATTTTCACAATTCACTTTCTAGAAAGCAACGAATTATATACAATTTCTATTGTGACCAACTTCAAGTTGATCCCTTTCTTCTTTTATCCAGATGAATATTTTTTGCATTGTTTAAAAGTTTTTAGCTTGTTTAAGCAATTAATTGACATCAACATTTTGAATACTGCAATGACATTTGTCCCAAATCACCTTACTATCTTTTGGAACAGACTTTGTATTTAGTGGAGAAAATATTTATCATTATAGTTTTATTTTTTATGATTTATTTCATTTTTAGTATCTTTGGGGAAAAACTCATCCCAGTGTGGACCTCAAATTTTTCATTTGCAGAAAATTTTGTTCTGCATATGGAAATGCTGGCCAAATTTTATGTGACAAACAAAATATATATAACAAACAAAATGATATGCATCATTATTACATAACAGAATCAAATGTTAGAAAAAACCATTCTATTTTCCAAATTTTGTAATATATCATTAAGTAGAATGATATTTTTCACTTTTAGCTGAACTTGAAGTTTCTTTCAAGTTAGTAATAGAAAAAAATGTTTTAGATAAAATGAGAATTCTTCTAGCTAAGAAAACGTATATAACTTTCAAAATTTACATCAATTTAGGAAAAAAACTTAATATTAATAAGCAATATGCTCTCTACTTTTTGAACTGTGAAAAAGACACAGGGGCCCATCAATAGTAAATGATTAGTGATAAAACTACCAGAAATGTAAGTAAATATTTTCCCAGCCAAAAGGGAATAGAGAGAACATTTATCAAAGATACAACCTTTGGTCCAGGATTAGAATGACTATGAAAAGTGGTTTGGGAGACTGAAGACCAGCATATATACCAGAATAAGCAGAGAAAGGAAGGAGAAAATAAATAATAAATGTTTATTGCATCAGACAGAATTTCTTTAGCAGGGTGAATTTTGTTTGGAAACAATATTTTCTGAAGTTAGCTAGTGAATAGAAGTTCAGGGTTTTGGATAAAGATTATATACTCATAAACAAAAATATGTGGCATATTGTATTCCCTAAAAACGGTTACTGCAATATATCCAATCTCACGTGCCCTTCTTACAACATGAGCTTGATCGTCCTCCCATTGTGTAGTGGCTTCTAACTCTCTCCCCTTGAATGCAGGCAGACCTCCTCTGTAACTGCCTCAACCAATAAAATACAAAAGAAGTGATTCCGCATGATTTTGAAGCCTAGGTCATAAAAATGCTGTGCACTTTGCCTTGCTCACTTTAATGCAGCTCCTGGAATCCAAACACTATGCTGTGAGCAATCCAGCAATTTCAGACAACAACCCAGCTATGGTCTCAGCCAACAGCGCCCATCATCCACTAGACATGTGAGTAAGTGAGACATCAGGTGATGCCAGACCCCAGGCTTCCAGTTAACCTGGGAAGACAGTTCAGCTGACACTGTGTAGAGAAGAGATGAGCTGTTTTCACTGAGTCCTGCCCAACTTGGAGTTCTGTGAACATTAGCGATTACTGTTAATTTCAGCCACCAAGGTTTGGGTGAATGATTATACAGCAGTGCGGAACAATAATATATATGTGATGGTAAAACAACATATATGTATATAAACTCTCTGTGTTATATATTATTCATTAACTTATGTACCAAAATTTATTGGCTATCTACTGGTAAAAATGTACTAGTAGGCCAATCACTGTGGTAGTCACTGTATGTACAAGTAGCAATAAGGTGTGTATTCACCACACTGCCTGGCATAGATTTTTTATGGGTCTAGAATACTTTCTGGTGTCAGAAATGCCGGTAGAAACCTAATTCACTAAGCCAAAAAGAGGATTATTAACAATCTTAATCATTTTTGGAAGAAGTTATAGAATCTCTCTCAAAGATAATATTGCTGATTTACTTAGTACATCATAATTTTAAAGAATTCATAAAGCCTCAACTATGATAATAACTGGAAAATAAACACAATGTGGCTAGAAATAATTTCAGTTACTTTAGTTATTTGTTCATTTTTATGAACACACTAGAATGAATGTATTAAAAAAATTTATCCCATAGAGGAGTCACTTTGGGAAGATTTCTATTTGTCCTGTAAACAAAACCATTGCTGAAAACATTTTGTGACCATATTTCCGCTGAATAAAGGAGGTTTATAAATCAAAGGGAGCTTAAATATTTTACTTACATCTAATTTTTAATCTCCAAATTATTGTTATACTCCAACTTAATTAGTAACTTTAAGATTTGATCTCCATTCATAAAATTTTTTAAATTTATACTCATTCTCAAGGACAGATCTGCTATCACAGAACATATTAAAAAGAGTGTGACAATGCTTCTAAGAGGAAACACAAATTGTTTTCAGTAACAAATGAGTTACTGAGATACTTATATAGGTCACTAATATAATGTCTTTAAATCAGACTCTTTTAGCAGTGTCTATTTGGGTATATTTTATAAAACCCAGAAACCTTATATTTATACCTTACAAATTTAGTTTAACAAAATCCAAAACTGTGAAGTTTTAAGCCTTAGTATGACTCATCAGGTAATTCTCAATGAAAGATATAATAGGATGAAGATACATGCACATATATGTTCATTGCAGCCCTGTTCACAATAGCAAAGACATGGAATCAGGCCAAATGCCCATCAGTGATAGACTAGGTGAAGAAAATGTGCCACATATATGCCATGGAATACTATGAATATACACTATACATAAAAATGAACAAGATCATGTCCTTTGCAGGAACATGCATGGAACTGGAGGCCATTATCCTTAGCAAACTAACACAGGGACAGAAAACTGAATACCCATGTTCTCACTTATAAGTGGGGGCTGAACAATGAGAACACATAGACATAGGGAGGGAAACAACACACACTGGGGCTTGTCAGGGGTGCAGGGAGAGGGAGAGCATCAGGATAAATAACTAATGCATGTGGGGCTTGATACCTAGGTAAGGGGAAGACATGTGCCGCAAACCACCGTGGCATACATTTACCTATGTAACAAACCTGCCTGTCCTCTACATGTACTCAGAACTTAAAATAAAATAAAATTTAAAAGAAATAAAGTTATAGTTGCCTCACAATAAAACTTTAAATAAGAGTACAGAACTTAGCCCAAACAGAAAAACATATTTAACAGTGTGAACATAATATTTAATATTCATATAGCAATGAAAATATACTCATATAAAGCCAATATCATATAACATTCAAATGGTGTGTCCAGCAGCTTTCTAATTCTTTTCATTTTATATGGATACTTGATAACAGACTGCCTTGTTGATGATCGTATGCTTGTTTCGGAGTTGATTTTCGGAAAGGTTATTGATTTCTTGAAGAATAACTTAAATAATATTATTTGAAAGAAAAAACTCTTCCAGGGTGAATTCTAACATTCTACTATTATCACTTTAATAAAAAAGGCATCTGGATCCCTTCATGGAGCCTTATTTCTTAATACAAATAGAATTTTACATCCAGTGACTGTATCATAACTCTGCAAACCCAAAACCACATTTCAATCAAGTTAAACCTATCACTAGAAGTAGAATTTCCCAACTTCCACAAGAAAGTGGAAATGAAACAGCCTGCCACCAACCTCACATAGCCAAGTACTTTCAAATCATTTTATATTGTATTAAATAATTTAATGCAGAATTAAAGTTCTCCCCCTTGTGGTCAGTTACTTAAATTTACTGATTACCTTTGGACAAGATGTATGTAGTAAATACAGTGCACAGATTTTAAAAGCATACAGAAAGAACCCAAAAACTACCTTTTAAATATCTGTTTGACTCTTCCTATTCCGCAAGTAAAGATTCTGAGACCTAAACATTAGGGTGTTTTGCCAGTGGTAAAGGAAATATAACAGTATACTGGTATAACAGTGTAACAGCGGTAACTTACTAATACAGTAAAAGCAAAATACAGTATTCTCCCATTAAGGGCCTTGAGATCATTAACTTCACCACATTAATTATGCAAACCTTTATTTGTCTGTTAGTAAACAACTTTAAGCAAATTATACCTGTCTACTCAGCTTATCTCGTTAGTTTAGAATTTTTAATTGTTATAGGCAGTTTATATCTGAGAAAAATTTTATATCTGGCCTAATGTTGAGTTGCTATATAAAAAAACTAATTCTTATCAC